TATCTCTTCTCTTCTAGTGACTCATAACCGGGAACCCCTCTCCTTTAGTTTGGGCATCTAAGGTGTTTCTTGTGAGACTGGCATAGGTAGATACCTAACTCCACACAAAATGGCTGGAGGAGGAGATGGTTGTAGTGCCCACCTGATAACTTTTATCCCAGTGGTTTGAGCGCTCACCTGGGACATGGGAGACCCAGGTTCAATTCCCCCTCTGATTGAGAGAGGGAAAGGATTTGAAGACGGGTCTCCTAAACCTTTCAGGAAAGTGCTCTACCATTGGGCTATGGGATATTCTGATGTGAGGCTCTTTCAGTCTCTCCTGTTGAAGCTATTCCACTGTATTATAAATAAGACATTGGAGTAGGGGTGTGAGGGGAGACCCCAGGTCCTGTTCCCCTGCTCCAATGAGTCGTTAATTATTTATACTCAAAGACCTAAAATTATGTAGATACGCTAAGAATTAGTAGTAGTAGTATAAAAGAAATGAGTGTGAACCCGAGGAGTATAATTTGCACTGGTCTATTATTCTAAGCCTCCACTTACCCAACTCAGAAATTCTATTTGGTATATGTGTCCATTATCATCTTGGTGTTTAATAGAAAAAAAATCAGAAAAAAATGGTGAATTCAATATGGCTTTCAGAGGGATTTGTATTTCTGATGCGGAATGTATTATCTAACTCTGTATTCCTTTCTGTATCTACCCAAATACGAAGATGTCAAAAGCTCTGAATTAGAAACTGAATGAGAAATCAGGGTGCTTAAGTGGTTCTGCCGTGTTTGTTTTACCTAAAGTCTTCAGCAGAGGGAGTTTCTGGTGTTGCACTGCTCGGACTTCCATCATCACTGTCAGCAGCCTGCTCTGATGAACTGAAAATCAAGGCATTTTTATGACTGACATTAAATATGGACACACAACATGTATGCAGGTCTATTATCACTAAACAGGGCAGAGGAGAAAGAAGCATTGTGCGGATGGTGCAGAGTGGAAGTAGCCTTTGAAACTATTATGGAGTGGAGGACTAAAGGGGTGATGAGGAGGGGAAGAAATTACTTGTCATTCTCTATCCCAGGGGAGACAAAAAATGGAGTAAAGCAGCTAAGAACTGAATAGATAGGGAGGGTGAAATCCTTCTCAGACCTAAGGATGGGTTCCCCACCTCTCAGTTTAGGAAGACCAATGTAGGAAAGCCTCGTACGGCCATTGCCTGTGCTCTGAAAACCTCCTGCTTCAGTGCTGTCAATCATATACCTTTCAAGAACATTACCTGGAATTCCTTAGTTTCCTATCTAGAGGCCCACTTTATGAGTAGTCTGCATTTGGAGCTGACCCCAAAACACAATATGTTCTGGTGCCAAAGCAAGGGTGAGAATAATCCACTCCTCACCAAAATCTGGTATTGTCCCACTCATCTTTCCATTTTTCATCTCCTCACCCTGCACAAATAAGTCCTACTCAACCAGAGCTCAAAATCAGCTAGGCCATGGTAGAGCAGTGGAAACACACACACTATCAGAAAATCAGAGAATCATAGGACCGGAAGAGACCTCGAGAGGTCATCTAGTCCAGTCCCCTGCACTCATGGCAGGACTAAGTATTATCTAGACCAGTGGTTCCCAAACTTGTTCCACCGCTTGTGCAGGGAAAGCCCCTGGCGGGCCGGGCTGTTTACCTGCCGCATCCACAGGTTCGGCTGATCGTGGTTCCCAGTGGCCGTGGTTCACTGCTCCAGGCCAATGGGAGCTGCTGGAAGCGGTGCGGGCCAAGGGACGTACAGGGGCTTTCCCTGCACAAGTGGCGGAACAAGTTTGGGAACCACTGATCTAGACCATTCCTGACAGGTGTTTGTCTAACCTGCTCTTAGAAATCGCCAATGGTGGAGATTCCACAATCTCCCTAGGCAATTTATTCCAGTGCTTAACCACCCAGATAGGAAGTTTTTCCTAATGTCCAACTTAAACCTCCCTTGCTGCAATTTAAGCCCATTGCTTCTTGTCCTATCCTTAGAGGTTAAGGAGAACAATTCTTCTCCCTCCTCTTGTAACAACCTTTTATGTACTTGAAAGCTGTTATCATATCCCTTCTCAGGCTTCTCTTTTCCAGACTAAACAAACCCAATTTTTTCAATCTTCCCTCATAGGCCATTTTTTCTAGACCTTTTAATCATTTTTCTTGTTCTTTTCTGGACTTTCTCCAAGTTGTCCACATCTTTCCTGAAATGTGGCACCCAGAATTGGACACAATACTCTAGTTGAGGCCTAATCAGAGCGGAGTACAGCAGGAGAATTAATTCTTGTGTCTTGCTTACAATACTCCTGCTAATACATCCCAGAATGATGTTCACTTTTTTTGCAACAGTGTTACATTGTTGACTCATATGTAGCTTGTGGTCCACTATAACTCCCAGATCCCTTTCCGCAGTACTTCTTCCTAGTGAGTCATTTCTCATTTTGTATGTGTGCAACTGATTGTTCCTTCCTAAGTGGAGTACTTTGCATTTGTTCTTATTGAATTTCATCCTATTTACTTCAGACCATTTCTCCAGTTTGTCCAGATCATTTTGAATTTTAATCCTATCCTCCAAAGCACTTCTAACCCCTCCCAGCTTGGAATCATCTGCAAACTTTATAAGTGTACTGTCTATGCCATTATCTAAATCATTGATGAAGATATTAAACAGAACTGGACCCAGAACTGATCCCTGCGGGACCCCATTTGTTATGCCCTTCCAGCATGACTGTGAACCACTGATAACTACTCTCTGGGAACGGTTTTCCAACCAGTTTTGCACCTATCTTATAGTAGCTCCATCTAGGTTGCATTTCCCTAATTTGTGTATGAGAAGGTCATGCAAGACAATATCAAAAGCTTTACTAAAGTCAAGATATACCACGTCTACCGCTTCCCCTTTTGTTGCCATGAAGACCACTGGGACCAGAGTAGGAGCTGTAATTAACCAGATGGATTAACTCCCCTTTATTTGGAAACCACACTCCAAACCTTTACGAGTCTCAGCCATCCTCATTGCATCCTATTCCCTCCCTTCTTCTCCCTCCACTCCCGGAATTAAAGGCAACTAACAATGGCCTCGCTCTCTCCTGCCCTTGTCCCCCCTCCAGCTGCATCATCTGTTGACAGCAGGCAGTAGTGCGAGGGGAGGGAGATGGCACCTGCAAGTCACTGGACTGTGCCGGGACGTCCCTAGGAAAGGGGGGCGGGGGGAGCAGAAGGCTGGGTACTGTGGAGCGGGTTGGGGAGGCGGAATCTATCCAGCCCCTCACCTGTAGCCCTTGTAGCCGTACAGACAGTAGTAGCTATTACTGAACCGCTCCAGCCTCCGCTCCTCGGCCGCGCCGCCCCCTTCCTCGCTGCTCTCCAGCTCCCTCTCGTCCCCATCCACAGACTCCTGCAGAGACGGCAGCATCTCTCCCCAGCTCAGCAGCTCTTCGTGTGTAGCAACGAAATCCGCCCTCTGGTCTCCTGCCGTACGGTGCTCGTCTTCCTGCTCACGCCACAAGCACTCAGGTTCCGGCTGCCCTTGTTTCCGCTCCTGCCTTTCACACTAACACCGCTTCGTAGAACTATTGCGCCAGCGCTCTCCGTTCCTGGAAGGCAGATGCATTGTAGGGCTGGTGTCACAGCCTCTCCCTGTTGGGATGGAAGATGTTGTTGTGTGTATTCCCATGAGAGACTTACAATTTCGGCACAAATCTGAAAATCTCTCTCACTTAAAGAGTCCCAATTTGGCAGCTCTGAATCTATTTCTCCCCCATTCCAGACTTGCCCTCATTCAGTTTGGAGGGAGAATCTTTCATTTGGGATCTTTTGAAGTCTCCCTCTCTTTCTTAGGAGGAAGGATTTTACTGAATGTGTTTACATGGTCGATTTTAAAATTAAAATTCATTCTGAAGCTGTTTAAATCCCCCCCCACCCCTATTAATTTATCCTTTGCGGGGAAATCCCTAAATTTTACAGCAGAGGATAAAAGTCCTCTTTTGTATTCCTCAAATCTCTTCTATACTTTTATAAGCAAATTATTTTTTTTGCAAAGAAAAAACATATCTTGTCAATTACCATTTCACATTTAAAATTTAAATACAATTTATGTCCATAGGCATGACATCCTCTGCTTATCCTTAGAGTGACTATGGTATTGACCAACAGTGACGCAAGCTTCTCCTAACAGCCCAGCCAATATGCCTCAAGGACAAGTTTGGTGTGATCACCTCTTTTGGTGACTATGATGGTTCAGTCTCTATAGTTCATTCATTGGTCTCCATGCTGGAATGGTCAAGTTTGCCACTTAGGCCTTGTTTTGAGGGGATGAGATTCCTGCCGTTTTGCCTTAGAGCCATGACACAGTGCATCAGTGCAGTAATGCTATAAGACATGGTGTTGATATTTGGAGGGAACGCAATGGTGTTTTCCCTCAGTGCCACCACACGGTGCGTCGGCCTGGGGAAGCCACGTGGTGATGCTGTGCCGACGTTTGAGAGGAAGGGATGATGTTTTCCTTTAGTTAACGGCCTGACGTGACGTGTTGGGGTTGGGACACCGCTGAGGACTGTGATGATTTTTAGGGGACAGGACTGTGCTTTGCTTGTGGCGGGCTGACACGGTGAGGCCGTGCGATGAGGCTGTGGTGATGTTTTGGAGTGCTGTTCTGCCTCAGCAACTTGGGGTGTGGAGGCAACCTGCTGATGTTGCCTAGTGGGGCACAGACGCCACATCACAATGGCACGGTCTGTCCTGTCCAACCAGCCCGTGGGCACCTTAAATCTCTTCGCTGGTGGGTACCCGAATCCCTTCCCTCCTCACCCCTATCAGCTCCCTGTGGCCGCCACGGGGGTCATGACAGAGGGTTCTACGCCCCTAGGCGGGACTGGAAAGGAGGTTGGAACAAAATGGCGGCCGTTGGCAATCGCGGGGCCTGTTAGGAGACTCAACGGCAGAGGGAGCCTGGTGGATGTCACGTGACAGCCTCGTCGCGGCTGCCGCGGTGCATACTGGGAAGCCCAGGGCTTGGAGGCGGCGGCAGGAGAGAGCGGCGCGGCCATTTTGTCTTCCTCCGAGAGGCCGCTGGAAGGCCTGCGGCTGGTGCCTGCTTCTCGCCTTTCTCTAGTTCGGTAGCGCCACCGCGATGGGCCGGAAGAAGAAGAAGCAGCTGAAGCCCTGGTGCTGATATCCTTTGCCACAAAACGGGATGGCTTCCCGGCCGGGACTGGGGGGCGGTAAAGGGGAGAGCGCGGCCTGGTCTCTGTTACCCCGGAACGTGGCCTAGTCTCTGCTCCCACCCATCCCCCATCCCCTGGCCGGGATGCGCCGGACTCGCGCCCTTTCTCCCTCCTCCACGCGCGACTCGGGCTCTCCTTCCGCCTCCCTCCTCCTCTCCTTCACCGGGAGTCGCCCCGCGCTCTCCCTCCCTTCCCTCGCCAGGAGGCGGCCTGGGCTCGGGCTTTTCGCTCCCTTTCTCCCCTCTCCGCGCGCCGGCGGGACGCGGCCTGCTCCGTCTGCCTCCCGACCGCCTTGTTTGGAATTTCGGCCGGCTGGGGCTTGTTTCCTGGTATTCCCTCCATTTCCTCCCCGCCAGCGCCACCGAGCTCCTAGCGAGCCCGGGGTAGTGGGGGAGCGGAGGAGACTCCGCGGGAATAGGTGACAGTGTCAGCAGCAAACTGCTGGTAGCTGGGACAGGGTAGATTTGTGGAGATGGGGGGGAAAAATCTTCATCCCTGGCGGGAGAGGCGGTAAAACTGTCTCAGAAACTTTAGAGATTCCTGGCCCGCCTTGTGTGGCTAATACCCTGGGACCAACAGGGCTACAACTACACTTCAGACAACAGTCAGAGAAACTTTGGCATTTAATGAGACTTGGTGCTTCCCTCAGTCTCCTAAAGGTTTGACTGCTGCTCTGAAGGCAGCATTAAAGATCAGTTCAATTTGCTGCAGCCATAAATATTGTCTCCTAGCTACTGTTTTAAATCTATCTTCTGACAGAATTGGATTACGCTTGATCTATCTCTCCAGGTTTTGTGCCTTGTGCTATTCCTTTAAGCTGCTTCATACAAAAATCTTAAAGCTTCAGAATGTCCTTAATCATCTTGAATAGGTATTGCAACAGGGATTTTGATGATGAGAAAATCCTTATACAGCATCAAAAAGCAAAGCACTTTAAATGCCATATATGTCATAAGAAACTGTATACAGGACCCGGTTTAGCTATACATTGTATGCAGGTAAGGCTTTTTTAAAATATATGCATAACTTGCCTCAATTTCAGTTTGTCCCTAGAGTGATACTGCATTAAAAACATTTTTAAGATTACTTGTTTATTACTGGTAGAATCTCAAAACTTTGCCACAGTTGCCTTGTTTAGGAAACACTGATGTCTCTCTTCTCTATTTCTAATACAAGAACATACACCCCTAAACTCACTGGTTTTAATAATGCTATCACAAATGTACATGGTAGCATATAGGTAAGCTATATCATCTTGGCCTTTCAGTCACACTTGACGTTGGGGAGGATGTATTAGTTAGTTTTAATTCCAGAAAACAAGTTTCTAAAATGGTTTTAGTATATCAACAAGGGAAAATGCACTTCTTAGTCTGAACCTATTCTTGGATATGTTTAAACTACAGAGACTATACCAGTATAGCTACATTGCATAATGCTGGCATGACTCCATAGTGTAGACATAGCCTGTGCTGACTAAAAGGTTTTTCCATCCGTCTAGGAATACCAAGTCTCCAAATGATGGTAGTCCTCAACGTAGCTGCGTCTACACTGGGGGTAAGTCGACATAACTTTGTCAGTCTGGGATGTGTGTTTTTTCACATTCCTGACAGATGTAGCTATGTCAACCTAACTTTTAAGTGTAGACCAAGCCTAAGACTAAAATTTTTCCTCATGAGGATGTAATTACATAGACAGAGTAATTTAAAAAAAAGGGGGGGGGGGATAAACCATGTCTTTCTTATCTAAGCTAAACTGTGAATAAGGTACAGTAGCATCTTCCCCTCTTTAGCAGCATCCCTTAGTTAACAGACACTTCTCTTCCTTGCGAAAGTATGACCGGACACATCTTCCACCCCACCCCCACCCCAAAAGTTAGGTTATTGTGCAATCTGATACAGAGTAAAAAGTGTTCAGTGTATTATAAATGTAATGGAACAAATCGCTCAAAACACTTTCATGTAGGGACCAACACAAATTGCAGCGGTTTGGGACAGACATTACCAGTAGATGTTAGTTACAGATATTAAAAAGAAAATAATTATTGAACTAAACATATGTGCATTTGTTATGGGTTTGAGTCGAGGTGGCAAAGTGGAAAGCTTTAACAGAATAATGTGTAAGATTTGACACTGCCTGTAGAAGTAATGTTATCAGTCACAAAAATCTTAGCTGATTGCAGTAAAGGAATCTAACTTTTTTGGTTTAGGTGCATAAAGAAACAATAGATGCTGTTCCAAATGCTATTCCTGGAAGAACAGATATTGAACTGGAAATCTATGGTATGGAGGGCATTCCAGAAAAAGACATGGATGAAAGGAGAAGATTACTTGAACAAAAAACTCAGGGTAAACTTGAATGTTTAGTTACTTATATTGTATTATCATCATCATATGTTAACTAGATTAGAGCATATAAAGGGGAGCATAGCTTTATCCCTATTTACTATGAATGTATAAATTGCATTTCTGTAGTGGTGAAAGTAAAATGTTACAGTTTTGATCCAGAAATGCAGTGTCTTACAGAGGTCTATTTAAACCATTAAACTATAATAGTTGGGATTTGTGCTCTGTGAAAGTAGCTACTTTAAATACAGAATTAAAGCTGGTACTGAGGAAATAGTTTAGCAACAGGATTTGTTTGAAGGCAAATCCTCAGTGGCCTGGGTTTTACACTGCCATTCAGATTTGATTAGTGTGGCTGCCTTGCTCTTCAGGTAACGGAAGTAAGGAATATCATCAGTGATTTTGGTTCAGATAGAGCAGTTGGTACATTCTGTAACTACTTTGATAGGCTTTGCTGGCCACTTAAGTGACTAGTGATATTTTCTCCTAGCCAAAGGTAACTGCTTTGGCAAGTACCTGTCTGGAAAAGGATTATCCTGTTACATAGCAGGAACTGTGACTTGAGGGTGGATAGAAGAAAAACAGCATAAATAGTATAGATGTTCAGACTTCTTTGATGCTAAGAATGCCTTTGTGAATTTCCCTGGCATTTTATCCTACTCCCTGGAGTCCTACTGTGTAGATTAACCTGTGGCATGCAGACCTAGGTGGCAGTTCTTAAGAATGATCCTGGTAGGGTTTCTTGCCCCCACTTTACCAACTCATACACACAAATAACACAGGGGTGGAAGGGTTATGTAAAATGTTTCCTTCTTCCTAAAATACATAATTGCAAATTACTAGCAAGGTGGTTTAAAAGTTAGTTTCAAATTGGAACACCTAGGTAGTAGATGAAATCCTATGCTCTTAAACTCTGTAGATTTGTGTTATTCTTAATCTGACAGTGTTAATTACATTTATTTAGCAGAGAGCCAGAAGAAGAAACAACAAGATGATTCTGATGAGTATGATGATGATGAATCTACAGCTTCAACCTCATTTCAACCACAACCAGTACAACCACAACAGGGATACATGCCCCCAATGGCACAACCAGGATTGCCTCCTGTGCCAGGTGCACCAGGAATACCCCCAGGTAACATAGACTTTTAAAGCTAGACATGGAAAAACCAAATACTTTTATTGAGATGCTACTTTAACTCTAGGATGATGGTCTGACACCTTCGCAACGCTGTTAGATATGACAGTATAACTTATGACTGATACTTAAGAATAGCTGTCTTGATATCCTCTTTCTTGAAGAAAATATAACATTAAGAAATGTCACAATAGTGATAGGATTGCTGAAGTGAGGTACCAAATTGTCATAGTGCCGCCTTTCTGGTCTAGCTTCAGGCTGGCTGCTGCCTCAGTTTCCCTTCAGTTCCTGGGCCAATTACCTGCCTGTGGTTCTCCCAGCCTTCCCAGGAGGGGCTTGCTGCCCACTCCCAGAGTCCTTCAGGCCCTTCTTCCAGGGCACTGTTTCATTAGTGCAAACACAACTCACAAAGTAACACACTCACAATCAGTGCAAGCTGCTGGGACCCAGAAGCCTTTCATTCTGCTCCCCTCTCTCCAGGGGAGTCACAGGAGCCAGACTTCTTTCTGTAGTTCCCCTTCCACTGAACCCTCTCAGCCCTTTGTAGAAAATACCTATCCCCTTCTCAGGTGGGTCTTATAAATTGAACAGGATTGGCTGGCTCCTGACCCGTTACAGTCCATAAACATGAAAAGCTAAATGTCACTGATAGGTTCTTTTTATTTAATGACGGGAGTCTTTCTGTTGTGAATAACTTATTCAAAAAAATCCCTCCAAATAGTAGCAATAAAGGGATTAATTTTGTCTCTATTCACATAAAAGCCTAATTGAGGTTCAATTCTACATGACTAGATGTAATCTTCGTATTTAAACATATTCCTATTCCAGTTTTTTAATGAGTCTATAATTCGTTCATCCTTTTGCACTTCCATTCCTTAGACGGGGCTTTCTTGTCCACATTTCCTATCCATGTTACCCTTGATATTTTTCTGCTTTTATATACTATATAAATTGACTTTATTTTGACACTGAAAGTGATGAACATGCCTACATCTGCTATATCAGAGAAGCTTTCATTAACCTGTGTCCTGATGCCATTTAAGAATTTCACTGTGGTTGGAAACTGCCTTTTAAGGAAGGAGTTGCTCTGCCAAGGAGAGAAAATGCCCTAGTGAGGGAGCCTAGTATGTAAGTGGTTAGACCACTAGCCTAAGACTTGGGAAACCTGAGTTCAATTCCCTGCTCTGCAACAGACTTCCTGAGTCACCTTGGGGGAAGTCCTTTAGCCTTGCTGTGCCCTACAGATGGGAAACTAATACTTCCCTACTTCACAGATGTGTTGTGAGGAGAATTATACTTAAGACTATTGACTGCTTTGGTATCTACTGATAAAAATGGCTATATAAGAGTAAGGTACTACTATTTCTAGGCTGGCTAAATTTCTGACAAAATGCTAGATTATGTGTACACTCATCAAGGGGAAGAGAGTCTCTATCCCTTAGTGATAGAAGATCAGTTTTCTGATCACGTGTCCAAATGTAGTGATACCACCTGTCCTCATCCTTGAAAACTCATGCAAAATATATCTTCAAGCAGTGTTAAAAAGGATTTTTCTCTAAAGCTTTTATGCAGATAGTTGATCCAGTCTTGTTTGTGTCTGAAGTCTCACACTGATAAATCTATTACTCATCTAAAAATTATTTTCAATTTAAAGGTATACCACCCTTGATGGCAGGTGTTCCACCAATGATGCCAGGAATGCCTCCAGTTATGCCAGGAATGCCACCTGGGTGAGTAAAAACATAGGCTTAATCAGTTGGCCTGTGTTCATGCAGTGGTTTTTGCACACTAGCAATTTGCTATCTAAATCTGTCATTAGCGGCTTTGAACTGTTGTAGAAAAAATCAAAACCTCTGTAGAACTTTGGGGGGTTTACAAACTTGTGTTAATTTTAAAGTTAACATAGGGCCTGGAAGGCTATACCACAACAGCAAAATGTCACTAAAATTTAGCAGGTCATATGCAAATGTGATGATGGTGTTGCTCTTCCTCCCACCCCCCAATTAATACAATTGGATGTAAAATCTTGACTTGCTGGTTTAAACCCTTCCATGAACCCATTGTCAAAGTTTGTGTGCTGTGTATATACATTGCATCAGAGTTTATCTCTTGTTCTCATCAGTTGTGGATCCAACCAGGAACAAGCTTGTTAGTCAGTTTAAGATTTTGTTAAATGAGATTTACACAGATTGGTTCTAGAGTGTACAGATGAGTTTTTAAATTGTTAATGGGGTTAACACATAACACCCTATCACAATGTGTTTGGAAAATCACAGGTAGATTTTTTGATTTTTGTCATACATTTTCACAGATTACATCAACAGAGAAAGTACATGCAGTCATTTTGCGGTGAAAACATGTAAGCATCTAATTAATAATGTAATTTAGGTACATTCATTATGCCATTTTATGTCAAATGAAACCTGTCATATTGAGCCCCTCTCATTCAATATTTGTGTTATGTAACTTTAGATTTTGTATAGTGCACAGTTTGAGATTTTCATTGTTAAGAATAATAAGGAATCTCTATCTAGATCCATAAGACAAAACAAAGGGAGATAACATTGCAATAGTTGTCTTGTGTCCTACTTCACCTTTCATTTTGCAGCAGTCTGCAGCTTCATTTGGTCACTCCCTGTGAGTAGTGGGAGGTTTGTTTGTTTTTTAAATGAAATTATTTTGGTGAGGATTCATTGATACATTAAGCAGGTCGCTTAAGCTATATAATATACAATTTTTGAATTCCAAAAAAACTGGTGATAAATCTGATTATTGCAGTTACATTCTCCGTGGGTGTTTTTCTGTTTGGCTTTGAAACATATAGCTTGAAGGATTTCATTCTGCAATCAGGACTGCCAATTTTTGCTGGTTTTTAGTCTGAGTGGCACCTAAAGCTCTTTGTCAAACTTTAATCTGGATGGATGCTATGCCATATATAGTAAGGAACATAACTTGCCAAAAAACTGCACTAGTCTATCAAACCAATTACAATCTTATAGATTGTAGTTATGACTTTACATTGTTACCAGTTTAAAGCCTAACTTAACCTAAAGCAGATTTCCACTCGTTTTTTTTAAATAAGGGACCATCAGGATAAGTAAGACTAGCCTTGGCCTGTGAAATAATATGTTCTGACTTACTGTACTTTAGCCCTGTTCTTTTCAGATTCTAAGAAACAAAGGTCCGTTTCATAACATAATACCCCTGTTGTTTCTTGTAAGTGCATCTTCATGGTGACAATGGGAGGGCTTCCCTCATCCAAGAGTTGCTGAGAGAATCTCTTGATGAGCTGGGGCGCCTTCACTATTTTCCCTAGCTTGGTTGCAGGTGTTTTTAGCGTAAGAATCCTCATTCTTCATATGGTATCTTGTGGACACCTTGCCTCCCATTTAATAAAATTCCTGTGGTAACTAAATTGCTTACCTTGAAAAGTAATATTAGGACAGTATTTAATGTCTTTTTAGCTTATTTTAATGGAGTTTAGCAGTTACAGATGGTAGGAGGGGCCAATGGGACACCAGTGTTCAGTCTTAGAGGAAACTTTAGCCATATCCTCTTAAGATGTCACCAGTAGATGAGAGGAATTTGCACCTCTACCCCGATATAACGTCACCCGTTATAACATGGTAAAGCGGTGCTCCGGGGGGCTGCGCACTCCGGTGGATCAAAGTAAATTCGATATAACACCGTTCACCTATAACACGGTAAGATATTTTGGCTCCCGAGGACAGCGTTATATCGAGGTAGAGGTGTATTCTTAGAACAGAGAAAAAGCCATAACCTTACATGAGTGCAATCAACTTGAACAATCGAATTCTGCTGTTCAAAGCATAGACAAAGTTACTGGAAATAGATTTTCTGATGTTTCCTCTTCAGTGCATTTGACGGAACTTTATGTGGTCATCTTTACCTGTTTGGTTGTCTGTCAGACAACATTGGAAGCGGAAACATTTTTTTAAAATAGGAACATGTGGCTGTATATTCACAAAAATTGGCCTGAGACCTCAGACATATGTACTACCTGAAACTTCTGACTAATGTTTTATATAACTAACTTGATTTCAAGTTGACTCTGTCTCGTTACACATTGTTCAAGGTTAGACTCTCATTTATGTTATCCTGGAGTCTTTAAAAAAATGAGGGGTAGTGTAACAGCATGATTTAAACAAATTTTCATGGCTGTTTTGTTAGTGGGGTACTAATTAGCTTAGCAGCAATACACTCGGTATACAATTTATTAGTAGGCCACTTACACTGAAACTCAGCCAATTAATTGAAAAGGACATGCTGGAGTACCTTTTTAATGGAGAGACTAAGCCTGGCAGTCTGATATTAAATCGGATTGATGTCACCTTAAGGAATTGAGTCCCACATGAAAACTGTTTCTCTTCCCGTTGACAGTGGGACTGGTTTGTCTACTGAGAGTCAAGATGACTTGAATTCCTCTATCGGTGGAAATAACTAGGTTACTTGCAACACCTTTAGCTTAATATTAGTGTATGCCAATGGTCTCAATAGGAGATCATTAGTGTTCATATTAGTCTCTATTTTATATTTTAATAGGATGATGCCAATGGGTGGGATGATGCCTCCTGGGCCAGGAATACCACCTCTTATGCCTGGTATGCCACCAGGTAGGTCAGTGATGTCGAACTCGTACTGTGGTGAGCTAAATTATATCTTTTATTTAACTTGGGGTTCTTGGGTTCATATGATTAAAATCGGGCTGTATACTACCCATACTTCATACTAGATCTCTGTAGAATTCAGTGGTGGCTTTCCACAAAGATAAAGGGTAGAATTTGGTGGCAAACTAACATTTTAAAGTAGTACACTTCTATTTATTGGAAAGGGAAAATGTGGAGAGTTTTTCCTCTTTCATTATCCATTCTTTCCCCCTACAATATCCTTTTTTTGGCTTTTCCTTCTCTCTGCATTTTTTCTCTCTTCTAGTCACATCTCTTCCCACTTCCTTTTTTTTTTTGGGTGGGGGGGGGTCTCTGTGGCAGCTGTGGAAAAATTGTAGACAGTTACTAATTAGCATTTTAGTCTTCCCTCTCTAGCCTAGCTATGTGCAAAGCACTTCATAAGGAAGTTTTCTGGATCAAGCTTTTAAACACTGAGACAGCTGTGAAAAGCTGCTGACTGGGACTGCAGGATCCTAGAAAAAGAAATTCCTGCATCACTGTTTTGACTGCTGTTACTGACAGCTGGCTGAAATTGGTGCAGTCTTAAACTCACCTGCAGTCTTAAACTGAGCTGAGTAGGCTGGAAGATTCACACCCATTAGGTAGATTGTACAAATTGAGTTTATTCCTGTCCAGAATTAACTATATTACACTAAGCTTGGGGGAACCCTTTTGTCTTATTCAGGAAGCTTTTATTTTACACAACAATTTTTCTCCAGACTTTTTGTTTAGGTGATTGAGTATTTTAATGTGTTACTTTGTGTTGAAGTGTTGCTTTGCTTTAAATCATAACTATAAGATTATAAAAACTGTTGCATAGCCTTTCTCTTGTTTTGCTTGTAACCAATATTGTGGGCATCTGTTAACTGTATTAAACATTTTGGGAGAACCTTCCATGGCAATCACATGTCCAAAAGTAGTTTGGCTGATTCTTTTTTTTTTTTTTAACTACTAAGTATTGTAAGTCAGTTCAATTGCTGAATTTAAAGGTCTTTTATGTATAATATGTCTATCAGAATTGCGTTTCTGGTTGCCTTCCTTGGTCTTTTAATAGTTGCAATATTGGCTGTCCGAGGGAGTTATTTCCATGTCCTCTGTAGAGCAGTCAGTCATAACCTGATCTGAGTTTGCACTTCGCTCCCAGCCCCATAAGTTCAGTCTCCACTAATGACAGACAGTTTGTCCAGGCTTCCTAGCAGCCTTATCACTCAGTTGGCAGCTTAGGTTTAGTTAGTATATCTTACACAAGTTCTCTGAGTTGCATGTGGAGTTAAGTGGAGAGAACTTGTACAACTGTGTTGTGGGGGTGGGGGGTAGCTAAGCTCCTGTCTGTCCGTTCCCTGTCTCTCAAAATTGAATCTGTAATTGTAAGGTGGAGGTGACAAAACTTCAGTCTTTCTTATAGGTAAGTGTGGTAATTTTTACTATACATGCATAGATGTTTAATTCGTGACTATCTAAAACAGCTCTGTCTACAAGCTGATTAAATGTACATTGACGTTACAGGCTTATCTATGTCAAGACTATACATATTGTTTTAAAAACATTCTGGAATAGTGTACTCAAAAGGAATATTTCTATTCACCTGTGCTTGAGGTTTTTATTACAGATTCTTTTCTATTTTCATAGGTATGCCACCACCTGTTGGTCCTCGCCCTGGTATGCCTCCCATGACACAAGCACAGCCTGTGACAGCACCAGGCATTCTTAATAGACCTCCAGCTCCTGCTGTAGCAGCACCCTCCCCACAGCCTCCAGTTACGAAACCACTTTTCCCCAGTGCAGGACAGGTAAGGTGACTTTCAGAGACTCTGGAATCTTAACTATCTAGTCTTGTCCCTTACAATGGACTATAAAATTAAATCATTGTGACTAGTAGTACTTTTCATTGAAGATACTACAAAAATAATTGGTAAAACTTCTCACCTGTTTTGACTCTTTATTGTAATGCAGTTTAACACTAGGCTGCTGATTTTTAAAAGGATTTTTATTCACTTTTTATTTCCCTTGTCTTCAGTGTCTTGTAGCAGCCCAGGAACTAGGTATAACGTCTGTCAGCAGATGTGGGGCGGTGGGGGATGGACAAAGCACTCTGACATTACTTCCCTTATGGAGGGGAGTGGTTGGCTGAACTTTTTTGTCTGTCAGCAGATAGAGATTTGACTTCTCAAAACTTTCTCTAAAGTTCACAATGCACAAGTCTTGCCATGGTTTGTTTTAAGCAGGATTTCGACTTGTGGTCTCTTGATAGTATTTTTTTTGAGGCTTGTGACCATTACCATTTGTTGTAAATGCATACATCCTTAATTCTTTACTTGCTTTCAAGTATGTTGCAGAAACTTTCATAATTTCCTTTTTGCATTTTGGGCTTCTGCATGGAAGATAATCATTTACAAAAATTCAGTCCCTTGGATAAGAGATCCTTCCATAGGGATATTTTCCACCCATTTGTTTGGAGACTGTTCACTGTTTCCTTTCTTTTATGCTACAGATGGGGACACCTGTCACAAGTTCAAGTACAGCTTCATCCAATTCAGAAAATCTGTCAGCATCTTCTAAAGCTCTGTTTCCTAGCACAGCACAAGTACGCAGGAAGTTGCAGTTTAAAAAAAAAAATTGCTTTGCAACTTAACCCTTTGGACCGTTATGTAAATCTGAAATGGTCTGCCTAAACATCTTCAGATAATTGCTGTTCTATTCCTGATTATGTTTAGCTGGTAAAACTACAAAATCCTTAATTGTATACTACATCTTGTAGGAATACACATTTCGAAGTATTCAATTTCTCTTGGCTAATGGGAAGAAATGAGAAATACTACATCCTGGTTCTGAAGGGTTAAAAAAGCATGTAAGCAGCTAAATGCATTTTAGTGGGCAGTGGTTAGCTTGATGCATGGTGAAACCTTTTTAGTTCGTGCTGTTTAATCTTAATATGGGGAAACTCTAATTTGCATTATGTTCTAAAATTGAAACATTTGGCTTTGGTTAGAAGGTGGCATGGAGAATTGAAAATGTATGCTGGCTACCGCCAAAACATTCTCTCAAGTGAAACTCATTTTTGTAGTATTTTACTTTTAAAGCAAAGTTGTCTTGTCTCTAATTTAATTTAAGCACAGACAGTATTGACTCCAGCCTCTTGTGTTTCACAGTGGACCTCAAATTTGTTTTCACTTAGTTCTTCAATCATTAATGAGACTAAAATTTCTGGAAGAGCTGTAGACAGATATTTAAGAGAACTTTGCAAGGCTATTGCAGTGTTTTTGTTATGGAGAGACTGCTTCAAAATTAATTTTGATTTTTAAAGTCTGACATGTTAGACTTCTTATACCGAAAGGTTTAGTTAAAGCCAAGATTTTCAAAACATCTAATTTCATTAATGAATGCTAACACTTGAAGTTGTATTCACTAATGATTGCTAAAATACACTAATTGTAATAACAGAAATAGGAATTCACTTCAGTGTAGCTTGTCTTTACTAAAGCAGAGTGGTCCATGAAGGATTTATATATTAAATTGAATATTTTGGGTGAAATTATGCAAGAAAGTCAGCAGAATATATATGCAATTTTTATTTTATACCTTTTGTTTTAGCTATTGCTTTTGACCTGCAACATCTAGATTCTTACAGTACGTGCACTAGGTTTTATTTTGTCTTTGTTTTCAGTTGCTTTAGTATTATGTGATGAGGCTGAAAGTTACTTTGGACTAGCTTATTTTAATTGTGTATCTTACTGGAAAGTTTCAGATGTCAAACAGGTAAATGACTCTTTTATTTTAAAAAGTAAGTATTTCTACTGATTAATTTTTATTTCACAGGCTCAGGCAGCTGTTCCAGGACCAGTGGGTACTGATTTCAAACCTTTGAATAATACACCTGCAACAACCACAGAGCCCCCCAAACCTACATTCCCTGCTTATACACAGTCTACAGCTTCAACCACTAGCACAACAAACAGTACTGCAGCTAAACCAGCTACGTCTATAACAAGTAAGCCTGCTACCCTTACAACAACCAGTGCAACCAGTAAGTTGATCCATCCCGATGAGGATATATCACTGGTAAGTTAAAACAGTTTTTCTTAAGTTGATAAATGCAACTCACATTTCCATTGCAATTGTCATGTGGCTAACAGGATATTTTTCTCTATCCCAGGATGACTTTAATGGCAGGAGAATAAAATGTGTTTGTTTAATTTATCAGAAATTCATGTGAAGGGATATATCTTCAGTTTGAAGGCGGTGAATAGTGTAATATAGAGTTAACACTGCATAACCATACCTGTATAAATGGTGAAACTGTTGCGTTGACTCAAAGAATCACCCCTCCTGAGTGTGGCTCTGCCTTAATTGGCTCTCACTTCTCCAGGCTGATGTGTAACTGTTAGAACTGTGCCAGATACAAACACCTAGCTAGCCAGCCTGGCACAAGTGAGACTGAGCAATTGTGAAGTGCTCCTGACAAATATGAAAAACAATTATACGGATGCTGTTCTCCAAGTTCAGAATTGAAAAATCTCAAGACAAAGTGCATCCTGCTGTCCTAAGCAAGGTTAAAATTCAGGTTACACTTAGTTTTGTCCTTTAGATTCCCAGTTCATTTCAGATTTTTTTTTACATATAATTTTAGTATTAAGAGGAGATTAGCTCCTTATGTGCAAAATATTAGAATTGACAGTATTAGTGTAGCAATTTCAAATAGTTGAACTTGCATTATGTGGTAGCTTTCCTGGGAAAGAGAGATACTATTGGTAATATACTTGAGAATTTTATAATAGCAAATTTAGTTCTATTATTGAAGCTACCTTTAGTAACAATTTCAGTTTTATAAATTCTAGCTTATGTACCTAGACATTCTGCACCAATATTTAAATTAATATTTCAGCTCCCTTGCTCTTCCTCTGGTGTATTAAAACATCTATGTATGCTGTTATTTTTAGGAAGAGAGAAGGGCACAGTTGCCCAAATATCAACGTAATCTTCCTCGACAAGGACAGGTATCAATGGGCAATCCATCAGTTGGATCACTTGGAGGTATGATGCCACCACAACCTGGAATTCCTCCTCAGCAGCAGGGAATGAGACCTCCCATGCCTCCTCATGGTAATCACACTTTTTCCTAATACATTTAAGTTCACTGAAAACTTTTTAAATCTAGAAGCAGCAGTTAATTTGAAATGGACAGGTTTTTACAAAAATATAACTTCAGTCTTTTTAATGTTTAACTTTGTGTCTCCAACCTTTTAAATCTTCTAAAATAGCTTTATTTTAAAATAACATTTTTTAAAAAGAAAACTAGTAGATATGTTTACTTTCATCTTAAAAATGTTTTGTTCATAGGTCAGTATGGTGCTCATCACCAAGGCATGCCAGGATACCTTCCTGGAGGGATGCCTCCATATGGTCAGGGACCTCCAATGGTGCCCCCTTACCAAGGTGGACCTCCTCGACCTCCAATGGGAATGAGACCTCCTGTAATGTCGCAAGGTGGCCGCTACTGATGCTACTACACACAGTCTAATAGGTTTGGAGATTAAACCTTTTCTCATCTTGTGCTGTTAATATAGCCAAGCTTCCGTCAGTTAAGGCTTCATTGTGACTTTAAAAAAAAAGTATCTTCCCACATGCAAGGAACTATTGGACATTCTTATTTTACATGGGAAAAATTTATTTGGAATAATAAAACAGGAACTTTTCCTGATGTTGCAATTTATACTGTATGGCTTCTTTTTCATGTTTCATCTAGGTTTTTAGAAGTGAAGTATAGTAAATATGGTTCGTTAAATTGTGAAGGCGCTGGAATTACATGAACATACCATCTTAAAGGCAAGTTCTGTAACATTATGTTGCTATTTGTAAAGTGATGCCTTCACAGCACTTCAGGTGCTGTTGGACTTCATGTCCCCAACTTAGCTTGGTGAGGGCTGTAACTATTCCCAACTACCTGTACATTTAAAAGTCTGAACATGTAACAATATTTAATGTATTTAGCGTTCCTCCTGTTGCAGGGTTTAAGTAAACTGACCCAATAAGGTCGTGTGACTTTTCTGTACTGTTATAAACTTCATTGTAATAAAACAAGACAAAAATTTATATGCCTTTTTATTCATGACCAGCTGTGGACAACTGCCTGCAAGGTTTGTACAGATGCATGCCACAGTAGTTATTGGTGTAATAAACGCATATTTACTGCTGCTGTTTTGATATACTCTAATTCTTGTTTGAACTTTGTCACTTAGCTGCATGTTGTAGTCTCCTAAGCAAGTAGACATAGACCTGTACACTTATTAACTAACTTAAAAAAAAATGATTAATAGGAATGAGATTACGGGTTACATCTCACCTATCGTTTATAATTTGTTTAAAATGGTGCAGGTTTCTTTAATAGGCCTTTCCTCTTGTCCGCAATAAATCTTAGATGACTTGTAACATTGGCACTTTCACATGTTAGCAAGATGTAATTGTGACCCCTGGCTGATGTAAATCAGAGTGCCAGATGCATCCTGTTAGTTCTTTCTTCAGATAACTTTCTTGGATGTGTGACTGCATCAATGCATGAACCTCAGGAGCCATTCAGGAGAAAACTTCTAGAAGCTTAGGTGCATGACACACAGTGAGTGACTTTCTTGCTGCTGTATTGAAAGTGACCTGCAAAAAGGAAAAATAGGCCGTTGCCCTTGTTTTGCCTCTATGATGTGCAAAGGCGGCTCACAAGTATGAGATTTTGTTTTTTGCTTTTACCATAAATATCAGGAATTTCAAATCTGATTGTCTCTGGGTGGTGCTGCTGGTTGGACACAAGATGACTCGTGGATTGAGAATTTTCTCATCCCTTTAAGTGCCTGGGGTGTTGAACCTCTGAGGCTCTTCTCCCAAGTGTCTTAATTACTTAGTTAACAAATCAGAATTTTGAATCTGAATTAGTCTCTTACCCTCTTACTCAGATTAATTTCCTTGTTATGACCTATATCTTGTTGCTTTAGTTGACTAGTCTTCCAGTGTTGGAGAGCTAAGTTTCTAATGGAAAAATACAAACATGGGGAGAACACTTTTTGTGATGGGAGGGCTTCCAGGTGTTTTAAACATCAAGAAGCAGAAAATGGCAAATGTTGCTTTCCTTTGCAGGTCAACTTTAAATACAAGGTCCAGCCACAAATTATATTTTATCTGTGCCACTTGTGTTGTGGTGATACTCATTTCCCTTGTTTTTCCATCGCAGAGGCTGACAAGCTTTACCACTAGTTTGGTCATCAGTGTAGTAGGTTTTCCTGTTTTTTTTTTTTCTGGAACTAAGCATTGTGGCTTAGTCTTATTTTTGGAAGAGAGATCTTTGGTTTTTTACAGCTATGGTTTGTACCAGGAACTTGACATTCCTTTACTTTCATGCTCCATCTTTTCAGTCTGCAAATCTTTAAATTAAAGATATTCAGAACATTATGCTGTCTTCCAGTAGAGTATGTGGCCCCATGGAACTCATTATATAGTGTCTCAGGTTCTTTGGCATCTTAATTTCTAGTTATATGGCCTTGGTTTAACAACTTAGAAATTTATCTGGCAAATCTCCAGAAACTTGTATTAATCTTAAGCAAGATCCATAGCTCTCCGGATGTCATAAAGAAGCATTTTTCTAGGCACTAGATACCATTTACCTGCTGGCCATCTGTCAGCTAACATGTAGAATAAATAAGCAGACTCATTCAGTAATTTGCTTGGAAATGCATTATGAACGGGCCTTGAGTTTTCAGGTTCTCTTCCCCCCCCCACCCAAGTCCTTCACCCTTTTCCATTTCTCTGCAATCGTAATTTAATATGTCCATTCTTGTACTCCAGATGGAAGCTGGTTGTCTTCTGTATTTCTTCTGATCCCAAGGATAATTCAAAAAATAAACATTAAAGCTATCATAACACATTTGACTTTTTTTTATAAAAACATTGATGTTGATAGATTGATTTTGTATTCTTCCTGTAAAAACTGGAACTTCCAGCTTTTTCTCAAGCTCTTATGATGTTCTAAGGAGATCTCTTCTCATTCCCCCCAAAACAAATCCCATTTTCTTACCTGCTGTAGTTCTATAACCCATTTTTTTAAACTTATTTTCTGGTCTGCACCACCCACCCCCCTTTTCAAGGATGAGTAGTCAGAAAAACAACAACCCCTAGAACCTTAGTGCATGCACTGCTCACTTGATCATGCTCTACAAACTGTCGTTATTTGTCTTTTAGTCCAGAATAATTCCCATTTCTTAAGTAATGACTGTTTGGCTGGTTAGGTGATAGCATCATTTTATAGCTCACAAATACTATTTTGTATATAGAGGTTGAAAACATTTAGATCTCTTTATTTTGTTTCTAACAGGACCTGAATTAATATTGATGAAATCTCTTGCAAATATACTTGGCAAAGTTTAGTTATGTGCTCTTGGTATTTCTCAGGTAGACACTCCCTGTCTTGTTTCCTCTGCTAGGAGACTGTAATGCAGCTACCTTGAGTTGCTGTCACTTCTATTTCACTGGGAATGTTTTTACAGAATTTGCTGTCTCTTACTGGCCCCCCGTTTCATTTATGTCCAGAGAGTTGGACTTGCAGTAGCATTTCCTGAGGAGACAAGCTGCTTTCAGATAAAGTAATCTTTGTATGGATTAACCATTTAAACCCCCTCCCTTAAGATTAGCATGCCATATCTCATAATGAAAATGAGAATTTATGATTAAATAAGATTGGTTGACTGACTTGCAAACTACATAACCAAATGTTGATGTAGGCACTAAAGACATCTTAGTGAATAATTTTCAGGCAAATGTTTGGAAACAGAAGAGGAAAGTCAATGCCTGTATAAAAGATTAAGCATTTTTCATTAGAGGATCTAAATCATTTTAAAAATAGCATTACGGTACACATTCTATCCATTTTAGAGACACAAAATAAGTGATTTGCCATAGATCATACAGCAAATCATTGAAAGAGCCAGAATTATAAACCAGGAGTCTTGACATCTCTTGCTTGAGTTGCTAAACCACCCTTAAGCACAGAGGTTACCTTTTAAATTTGATTTTACAAAGTTAACTAGTTTCCATGGTCTCTAATTTGTGGGTCAACTAACTCTTCCCTTTGGTGAATGATTTAGTAAGACTTTCCGGATGACTAGCTTTTACTCTTTTTGCAAATTATTGCTCCTCTATTTCAGATCATAGATTCAAAATACTGGTAATAAGTTTGAGGATGGAATGCATATCTGATAATTAAAATGAATAATTAACCCTTGCTCTGTGCATGCACAGGAGGACACAAGCTTCTAGAAAGTATTCAACTGCTTCTGTGGTTTGCATGGTGCATGCACTCATTTCGAGTGTATGGAGCTGCAGAGCAAATTACCTGTGTATCGCACTCAAGTCAATGGTAATTAATTTTTTCTGTGAACTAATGGAGAAAGTACAGCATATAATCTGAAATTATTTTGCAGGAACCAAAGAATTCTGAACACAAGACAAAATGAAAAAAAGCAAGACTTTAGTTTACACAGTGGGAAGGGCAATATAATGACTTCTGTAATCAGAAGTCGAAACTAACAAACTTGCCTATCAGCTGGTGTTGCAATTTCTAAAATGATTAAAAAAAAATTTTTGTCTGGTACTAAATATCTTAATAATTGTACTGGTCTAGCTACTACAGAAGACACTAAGGTGAGGGTAAACTTTTCAGTGGCTGATGGGATTTTCACCTAACATTACTTTTTGTGAACTAGTACAGTAAATGCCATCAGTTATGGGAAAAATACCCATAGACAACAGAATTGTGTTCCAGTCATCAAGCTACAAATGAAGTAATCTAACATCAGAACTTCATACAACTCAAAAATAGTCATAAAATATAAAAGGTTTAGTTTGGAATTAACAAATGCTAAGGCAGTAGCTTCTTTTGTTTGCTTGATCACTGGAATTTTGTTAATTTTGAATGCATGTCTTTCACTTAATTGGGTTATGTTTTTCTAAAATTTAAATTTTTCTTCTTCCTATAGCCCTGCCATAGGACAGGCTGAGGCAGAGTCTCAGTGTTGCCCTGTTCAGTCTGAGGCAAGTGGGATTTATTTTATTCATTCTGGGGGCTTTCACAGCTTTATGGCTGTTGGATATTTATGTCCCCAAACTTGCAGCAAGTTTGGTGAAGGCCCCTAAATTTAATTTAATTTAGGATTTTTATAATCTTTTGGTAGATGGGCTCTATATTAATATTCATACTTATTGGCTGTGGTGTTTTTGAAGAGGTTGGTGGGAAGGGATATTTCAGATGGATGTTGATGCAACTTTTTTTCCCTTTATCCTTCAGCCATTTCCCTTTTTTTCCAAATTCTGTGCACTATTTTTTTGAAGGTAATATTTAATAATGGAACTACATGTAGCTTATATGAACAGATCTGTTGGGTGATGCTGTTGCCTTTTCTGGGGAAATGTATTGAAATGCAACTTACTTGAAATCCAGAAACTTCATCATAACACTTTAAATCCATTTAGTTATTAGGCCCACAGTATTAATTATAAGAATATTAGTTAGAACTGGAGGCATAAAAGGACGGATATAGTGATATACTTAACATTTTTGTTTTCACATGTTATACCATGACAGTTACACCAGAAGAGTAAATATTAATGTAGAGCCCTGCAAAGAAGAGATACAGATTTGAGTTGGTAAATAGAAAAAAGGAATGAGAAAGTTGTAGATTTTGCAAAAATGTCAGTTTGAAAGATTTCCTTTTCATCAGCCTCTTTTTTTAAAAAGGCATAATATTGTAAAGTTTGGTGTATTGCACCATGTATTCTAAAATCACAGCATTCATTGTGAATTTTGAGGGATTTTGCAATGTAATTTAACATGTTTATTAACTACCATTACCATATCAACAATATTGAAGATAAAACTGTACTCTTATTTAGAAAATGAGAACTTTACTATCTTTAAATAATTTTAAAATTACTGTTTGAGCAGACTGCCCCTTTGCCTTTTTCTTGCAAAAGCATGAGATACCTGGACAATTTCAGCCTGAGAATAGGTTTTGTCCCTGAGTAATCTGACTGCCTCTTGGCAGCATTTGACTCTTACAATTTCCAAATTAAAAAAAATGTTTGCTAGCTTGTTTGAAATTGCTGCAGCAGATGAGTTTTTAAAGACAGTTTTTGATGCACCATAGAAACTGTTTAATTTCTTAAATGTTTCCTTAAGTAATGGTTAACTTGTATAGCTTTCACAAGTCTGGTTGTGGCTCACATTGTCTTTAATACAATTGACTGTCACCTACAAGAATGGAACTTATTCCTTCTGCCTTGTTGCCTTCCCCCTTTGGAACTCCTACCCAACTGCCCCACACTCACGTTCTGAACCCCTTCTGGGTTTCTGATCCTTCCTGGTGAGCTCCAGAAACCAGTTATAATCCTCACTAATGCCCAAATTTGTGAGACATACGCACTGAATGTTAACTGTATTCAAGTAATTGTTGAGCAGTGTGTGTTATATTCCTAATTCTGTCAGTTTGATGTTACCCTTTATAACACAAAAGACAATACTACAGTAACTAGCATTTTTCTACTAAATTTATTCAAGTTGTAAGAGCACTTGTCACTTCACTGTCTTGTCTCCTCATTTGCATAACCTGGTCAGGCAAGAGTTTTCTTGCAGAAGAGAATTGCATAAGTAGTATGTTGTATGTGTTGCTACAGATATCTGAATCATTCTATTAAGACTCAATGAATGAAAAATAATCAGAGATATTTAGTGTTTAATATTCATTATTGATTCACTCTGCCTTTTCACCATTTAATAGACTGACACTAAATAGTTTCCATCCAAATATTTGTATTTGGTCTGGTAAGTCTTCAGGTGTATTTTGTAGTAGAAATGTTCAAATGTAGATTAATGTATACCCTCTGCCTTGTCCATAGTGTACATTTCTACAAAGATGAGTATCCTTCTTTGATCCACACTTGGGTTATATCCAATAAATGTATATTCCTTGTGGCAGTTAAATGTTCAGTGTCCTACTCAAACCATCAATTTGTTTTCACCTTTGCATTGTTTGAAGATACTAGCTTAAGATGGTCATGAGAAATCACTTACTTGCACTTCCTATTTCTGTTGTACTGATGATCTTAATGTAAGTTAAATGTTGCTTCAACATGCCAAAAAAAAACCATGATTCTCTGTATTTCTTGTATCTATCTTGTGAATGAGACTAAGTACTGTAGTTCGTACCTCCCCTATCACTCTAGGGATATTTTCTTTTCTGCGCTAGTTATTCTCATGTAAATTTGAGAACATACTTCTTGGAATCCTAGTAGAAACCTTCATCTGGAGGAAGACTAATCATTTTGCTATCCACTTCCGAAAGATGCAATCAATGGCACTCCAGAATAATTCTGTAGGATGTTGTGTGGATTTGAGCTTCCTTTGCTATAATTTTCAATTCAATGCATTTCAAATGGTATCGGAAATCTCTAGTTGGTCTTCAAACACAAGCTTCGCTTCTCCCTTTCTCCATGTTCCTGCCTCCCTCCAAGGGAGTTTTATGATTTTCAAAAGTTGCTCATTTTGAGATTGCAATAAAAAAATTGAAGTTCTTGGGTCTGTGACTTCAGCAGGCACAGCAATATTATCCTAATCCGGTGCCACAATTGATGTCCATGTATTAATTTGAAAGCAACAAGAGAGCAGTTTGCATGTGCTTTAAATATTCAGTGGTGATATGTGACCTATAAAAGGTAGAGAGGCTTTGCTTTCCTTCTAACCACAACAATAGCACACTGCTTTATATTATTTAATAGGAGTTTTTCCTCAACTCCTGGATCAACTGTTTCAAAAAGATCTTTAAACACAAATCTAGTTTAAAAAAAAAAAATCTTGCTCCTACTGTGAAACTTGTCTGACACCTTTGAGTGTGGATCTAAGGAGGATATTGCCAGAAAAACTTCAATTGTAAACAAGACATTCCCTAATTCAAAGTCATGCATGCTTACTAATACCCTGTGTGTCACGAAGTTGCTCCATTTCTGGCTTCCATGTCTTTTCCCAAAGGCTCTTAAGAATCACTTTAAAATATTATTCTTATTTTCCTACATTCTAATGGAAGCACTCAGTATAATTCCATTTAAAGCTACAAGGACCTATATTTTTTTTTCATGCACAAGAAATGCTATAATGTTAAACTGCTAAATCAGGTGAACTTTTGCATATCTCTCGTTACATGCAAGGTAAATAATAGGAGTGGCAAATAAAGTACATGCCACGCATTAAGTTCTTGGATGCTTTGGAATGCTGTGATGGTTGCCTTATACAGAACACTTTGTATATTAGTATTAAATGCTGTCCCTTAAGTGCTGTGGAAAATACTTACCAGTGTGCCTATTTTCAAAATTATTTCACGAAAGCAGGGTTTCTCAAACTCCATTGCATCATGATTCCCTTCTGACAACAAATTACTACACGACCCCGGGCATGGGGACTGAAGTCTGAGCCAAACCCAACGTTTGAGCCCTGCTGTCCAGGGGTGGGGCGGGCGGAGGAGGAGGAGGCAAAGCCGAAAGTTGAGGGCTTCAGCCCTGGTGATGGGGCTCTGACTTTGGCTTCAGTCCTGGGCCCCAGCAAGTCTAATGCCAGCTCTGGCGACCCCCCATAAAAACAGGGTCATGACCCACTTTGGGGTCCCGACCCACAGTTTGAGAATCACTGCATTAAAATCACTAAGATTTCCTATAGCCCTGTGGTTCTCAACCTATTTACCATTGTGGGCTGCATCCAATATTACCTGTATGGCCCTGAGGGTGTCACATGGGCTGCAGCTCTGTGCTGATTGGGCCACAGGTTAAGAACCACTCCGATAGCCAGTCTGGAGAAAAGCAGTTAGTGGGTTTAGTGGCCTCTTTCTGCCACAAATGTAGTGATGGTCCATTTTCGTATTTGCCTTAAAAACTTGTCCAGATATTAGTTTGGGAGTGGGAAAAGAACTGAGGATAGTTGCTTTGGAAATAGACCTTGCTGAGTTTTTGTGATTGTGCAAAACACATTTAATCATCTGACTGTTGTGATTCAGTAAAATACATTGCTGAGATGGCAGCTCTCTGCAAATCTCCACCCTATCAGAATAGGAAGTAGATAATAATCACAGCTAGAATGAATATTGGTATCATGTTTCTGCTAGTGTATCTGCAGTTTTAATGCAACATCATTGCTGGCCAAGTGACATAGGTATACTGAAGACCTCTATGCAAGAGAGACAGACTTTTAATCCACAATTTCTTGATCCCTTGGCCAACACAGACTTGAAATACAACAGACTCCTCTGGGTGGTTACAATTTGTATGCCTCACTTCTCAACCCAACCTTTTTCTTATGAGGCATGGAAGGATCCACAGTCAGGAGTCCTGACCAGTCCTTGACTGGGCAGATGGTGCCCACGTAAAGCCCGAGAGTAAAGGAGGAAAAGGTGAACTACCAGCTGGATTTCCACTGCAAGATCCACATTTCATGCAGGTCATCAGACAGTGTAGTGGTGTTAAGATCCAGGCTTTTTATTCAGTCAAGTACTTAATTCAAATTATATCTAGTAGGATGGTATATCTTGAATGCTGGGATACTCCACACTTCCCTGCAATTCTATGCACCAGATCTTTTGATTTCACCAACCATCCGTGTCCCTAGCAGAAAACTCTAGTTTTAATAGTACCATTTTTAAATGGTGCTGAACTCATCTTAAAACACTGGTAATGAACTCATCTCAAGGTTTGTCTTGACTAAGAGTTAAAAGGTAAGACCAACAGCTGGTGATGGTGTAGCGGTATCTTGTATAAGATCATGTTTGATGTAATAGACGGATCATTTTGGGCTTCCTAGAATAGTGGGTTAAGAAATCTGATTTTTGAGGCCATGGGATTCTTTTTTCCCTCTCCCCACCTTTACAGGGGGTGTAGAAAGAAGACACATTGTGGCGGGGGAGTTGCTAGGTCAGGTGAGGTACGTCAGTTTCAGGTATGTGTTGCCTCAGGGTTTCCTTTTTGTTTTTGCTAAATCAATATAAATTTTAATCACATTTCAAGAGTAATTCTTTTTAAATTGAATTACACTTCTGCTGTTCCTACTAAAACTGTGTTAACTAGTCCCAACTTTAACCTTTTGGTTTTGAATGTGGGAATTTTCATCATACCTAAGAACAGCCCACATATACTCAAATCCATTTCTCTATTCCCTTATTTATGAATCACACATCAAGACAAAGTAAAACTAATTTCATAAACAACTTCAACTCTATTGCCTCAGTGAAGCAGATGAAATTTTAGAAAATAATAAGTGTGCCCGATCTATTTTCACTGAGTGCTCTTTAACAGAGTTACTCTTGCAACTACAACTTGTAATCCCTTGACATTTAGGTTTGTCCAAGACGTGTTTATCATATTACACTTGTCTGATCCATGAGTCAGAAAAGTTTGAATCAAATTTAAGGGCAAATTAAACATAATTTTATAGCTGCCTTTAGTCTGTTCCTTAAAAATAAATAAATAAATAAATTTAAAAAAATGTACCAATTGAGGTTTGACTTTTTTTTTTAATGAGAACTAAATTATGGATAAACTCCTTGATTTAATACAACTTGTGTTTTTGTTAACTAGCAGCAGAATTTCAGCATTTGCTACTTACTGGTAGAGAAGAAAAATCCCACAGCATTGCCAGTACAGGTTAGTTTAATCTGTAAGTACCTGATGTTCCTGTTTGAAATACTGTGTTTAAATACATGAGGAGAGAGTCTTTTGATCACCTAAATGTGAATACGTCTTTGTTGTGTAGGATATATGTTGCTGTCTTCAGTAGTGAGTAAATTTGTAGAATTTAACAGTTAAAAAAAAATACAATGATTCTAACTACATCTAGGGGTACTATACTTTTACAAGCACCTGATTAACGGAAATGGGGATTAAAAGTTTTGATGGCCATTTTGGCAGTATTGAGAAGCTTAATGGACACATGGACGTTGATTCAACAGTCACTTCTTCAGTAATTCACTTACTACTGAGAGAGGTCATTTTACCAGAGTGAATTGATGATACAGGATTTTGATATTCGCTTATATTGGGAATTGGATGTTCATGCCCCTAATACTGTAGCAGTAATTTAACCTTGACTTAAATTTTCTGTTTACAAATATGTAATATCACCTGACTTTAATACCCCCACTCTCATATATTTACTGTAGTAGGCCCTGTGCATGGGATTAGTCTCTGAAATCCATTTTAGCCCCTTTTTACACTTCAGAGAGCTCCTACAAATGTTTTCCTCAGAGATTTTAGTTTACCCCCCATATTTATTGTCTTTCCCTCATTCCTCTTTACTTTCTCCTTCCACCCCTCCAGTATTGCTTAGCGTGCTTTATCTGCTTAAATTTGAAGCAGGTGACTTAATTGTTTGGATTTTTTTTGGTTGTGCAGTGTCCTGAGCATCTTGAGTACTTTGAATGAAATTAACTTCAGAAGATAAAATTTTGTATGTGTACACAAATATACGGTGACCATTTTTAGGTGCTCTATAAAAATAAACTCAAAAACTACAGCGCATTAAAGATCAAGGAAAGCCAACAGATGGCAGTAGTCAAATAGAAAACTGAAACTATTGTCATCTCAATTTACCTAATTAGAGCAACAATCTGAATAACAATATGACAAACTGACATTTACGGCTCCACCAAGTTGGTTTCAGAATTGAACATCTTGCATAGATTTTAAGAATTCATTCTCAATTATAACAACATGTTCATTTTTTATGTTATAGAAGAAAACACGCTAACTGGTTTTAAGAGCTGTGATAACCTTTGTAGTTTTAGCAGGACACATCATCCAGGGGCTCCTATTATATGCTCAGAAATTCAAACTGTAAATGTTCACTTGCCTGCAAGTGGCAGCACACGCAGTTCAAATTTCTCACTTGTGATGTGCCTGTTCAGACTTGTCTTTTGGGAACCTGGTGGGTCACTTTTATATAGGATTTAAAATTAATCTGTTGCCCTATATCTCCTAAACATGATTGGGAGTTATGTGCACGTGTAAAAACTACAGATTCCTTACTGTGAAATCAGTGACTATATGTAGTAAAGTTCACAAATCCTTTCTTTTAATTGATTTTTTAAAAATAATTATGAATCCAGTTGCCGTTTGTGGCACCAAATCTGTCAGCTTGTTAATAACTGGTTCTTTTGGACTGCAATATTCTGTGAGGTCAGCCTCCAGGGTTGCTAAAAAAGAAATAATTTAACCTTTTACTTCACGGTACCCCAATTTGGTAATGAACGCTTCCCTTTGTCACACCCATCCTCTAGTGCGGGGGTCGGCAACCTTCGGCACGCGGCCCATCAGGTTAATCTGCTGGCAGGCCGTGAGACATTTTGTTTATGTTGACCGTCCGCAGGCACGGACCCCCCGCAGCTCCCCAGGGCCACGGTTCGCTGTTCCCGGCCAATGGGAGCTGTGGGACGCGGCAGGCCGCAGGGATGTGCTGGCCGCGGCTTCCCTCTGCTCCCATTGGCTGGGAATGGTGAACCGCGGCCCTGGGGACCCTACGGACGGTCAACGTAAACAAAATGTCTCATGGCCTGCCAGTGGATTACCCTGACGGGCCGCGTGCCGAAGGTTGCCGACCTCTGCTCTAGTGCTTCATATTACAAGAAAGTACAATGCTTCAAGATTGCTTTAATGAGAGTTATGGTGGAAATGCCACCTTTCTGAGATTTTTTTATGCCAATTAAATAGCTCACAGCATAATATGAATATTGTTTCAATAATAAAGAGCTAAGTGCATTTTTCCTTTGAAACAGCAAATTTGGATTTTTCTGAAAGGATACTGGGAATCTTTAGACCTGTCATTACCATACAAGTGATCTTAAGTTGAGCTTTTGGTCCATTGTCATAGCTGTCCTGTAGCATACAATTTGATCTTTTACTGTGGCAATTACTTTGAGGCCACACTAAGAGTTTTTCTTCGATGAACCAACAGTCATTCAGATATTGATATTAAAAAGTTTCCCGAATTCACGTTCTTTGAAGAAGTGAAGTGAATGGGACCAAGTTAACTGGTTTTAGAACATTAAAATATGCCCATCAATCTGTGAGCACATGTACAAACTTGTAACAGATGGTAAAAGTATTGGTAAGAGAGGGGTAAACTGAAAGGTTGGTAAGTATATGGGTAACTCTGTAAAATGCATGTTGATTGTAGAAATGGTAACTGCGGTTTAATTTTCATAGCATTCAGTTGACAGAGAAGTGTTGAAGACCATATGGAACCAAGAACAATGAATCAAACTTGCATTCCTTGTGTGTTCTTATTGGGCTCATTTTTCTTCAGGAATGGGAAATTGGATAATATATATACTTCCATAATATGTATCTATTTAATTCTGACTTTCTCCAATGATTAAACTTAATAATTTAATAAATGAATTGCTGCCTGTGTATTTTCTCTGACGGAACAATTTAAAATTTGCAACACATTGTCTTGAAGTGCTTCACAACAATTTTAAGTATAAAAAAGTATGTTTTCAACCAACTTTCTGCTTAAATAGCTTAATGAAATCAGGCAAGTGAATAAAGGCACAGTTTATCTGCAAGATATTAGGTCACGTATGCTGCAATAACATGCCAAACAATGCGTACTGCTCAGTTGTGTAAAACATTTAAATTGGGTGTGTTAATCAAGTATTAGTCTTTGAGGCTATAAACAACCCAAATCTGATTTTTGTGCTGAGCCTTGCTAATTTTGGGGTGTATTTTTTGTAGTTTTTTTTTTTTTTTTTAATCTGGCTTCTTTTGTTTTCTGTAGGTCTCAGTAATGTAACAATGATAATTAAAATTAATAAAAGCTCCCAAAACTGCTTGAGTAACTACACGTGTGTTAGTAAGACACAATACTGGAGTATACAATGCAGCTGTGCTTTTAGGTTAAGGCATATTTGACCAAATAAGGAGTGGGAAGATCCTTTTAGCTGGCGTGGTATGGGTACTGAATTGGCACAGAATAATTAAACATGAACAACTGGTGTGCAATACCTAAAAGTAACAATCTTTTACATATTTGAAAACTTATCAGGTTCACCCTCAGTCATCTTTTCTCAAAACCAAACGTCCAATTTTTTAACCTTTCCTCATAAGTTATGTCTTCTAAACCTTTTGTCATTTTTATTGCTCTCCTCTGGACTCTCCAGTTTGTCCACATCTTATGTACCAAACCTGGACGTAGTACTTCAGCTGAGACCTCACCATTGCCAAGTAAGCGTGATAGTTACATGTTACACTTCTGTTATCCAGAATGACATCTGCCTTTTTTGCTACAGCATCACTCTGTTGACTCATTCAGTTTGTGATCCACTGTAACCTCCAGATCCTTTTCTGTAGCACTGCTGTCTAGCCAGTTATTGCCAATTTTGAATTTGTGCACTTCTCAGTACTTTGCACCTGTCTTTATTGATTTCAGATCAAATCTTCAATTTATCAAGATAATTCTGAATTCTAGTGCTGGCCTTCAGAGTGCTTGCAACCTCATTCAGCTTGATGTCGTCTACTAATTTTGTAAGCATACTCTCCACTACATCATCCAAATTGTTAACGAAAACATTGAATAGTAGACCTGGACCTAAAATGGATCCTACTTGCATAAAACTGGCCATGCTGAGTCAGACCAAAGGTCCATCTAGCCCAGTATCCTGTCTTCCGACAGTGGCCAATGCCACTTGATATCTCCTTCCAGTTTGATGGTGAACCATTGATAATTCTTTGAGTCTCGTCTTTCAACCAATCGTACACCTTTTATAGTAATTTAATCTAAGCCATATTTCTGTAGTTTCCATATGAGAATGTCATGGGAAGCAGAAGACTAGCCTGTAGAAAGAAATTAGATTGGTTTAGTGTTACTTGTTCCTGATAAATGCCTGTTGGCTATTTCCACTTTATCCTTCATGTTTGAATAATTTGATTAATAAGTTGTTCCAGTATCTTTCTGGACATTGATTGCCCTCAGCCATTAGTAATGATGTGCCTTAAATTTCTAGGCCATATAGCATCATGTACCTTTGTGACTCCTGTGCGCATTTTGCATGAAGCAAGGCAGGTGCCTAACTCATTCTTGCTAGAAACAACTTAGGCATCTAAAGTGACTCCTGGAGACAGGTTCTCTGCTGTGAACTGCTAGTACAAATAGGTACCTCCCTACAGCCCCAGCCTAGGAGCTGAACTCGGAGTGGGGCTTAGCACACAACCCCTCATCAGCATTTCCCAGCTTAGGCAGCTCCCAGTTTAGCATGCTAGCTTTTGTGAATCATGTTCTTAGGGATGTCTCCCCCTACCTCCCCATTGTTCAAGGACCCTAGGTACCTAACTCAGGCTTTGTAGATCACCTTGGTGCTCCATTCATTTTTCTGTGCATCCAAAGTTAGGCATTGTGATGCTGAGTGGATTTCGAGATCTGAGCCTAACTGCTTAGCTTCTAGAAATTCTGCACTAATTCTTACAGTCCAGTTGTCAACTGGCCAGCACAAGGTGATTTCTCCCTTGAAACTGTTTGAATAATCAATTTTTGCCCTTCCATCCTTAGTTTAAAACAACCTTGCCACATGTAGCTGAGAAGGTTCTGAATGAGCCATATATAAAAGCTTAATTAGTATCCTGGTTCACCCCATTGCTCTTCTGCTGTAAATACTGAAATGTGAGGTTAACCAATATCTTAAGCTTGTATCTTTCCTCTGGTGGGAGCTGTTGTCAGTAGCTACCGGTGTGGTGCTCTGCTCTTATTCGATGATAACAGTCGGCTGTGTGCGTGTTCCCTCTGCCTGCTATCCCAGCTCTGCACAGATAGCTGACACAGCAAACCTCGAGAGAACCCCCAAAGACCACAGACTCTAGTAAGGTACGAAGGAACCCGAGCCAGGTTTATTGTCATAGACTCATAGACTTTAAGGTCAGAAGGGACCATTATGATCATCTGGTCTGACCCCCTGCATGCTGCAGGCCATAAAACCGTCCCTACCCCTTCCCTGGATTCTGCTGTTGAAGTCCCCAATCCTGTTTTTAGTGACTTCAATCGGCAGAGACCCTCCTGCTAGAGATCCCTGCCCCATGCTGCGGAGGAAGGCGAAAAACCTCCAGAGGCTCAGCCAATCTGCCCTGGAGGAAAATTCCTTCCCGACCCCAAATATGGCGATCAGTAAGACCCCGAGCATATAGGCAAGAGTCTCCATCCTGACCCCTGTTAGCCATTATACTATTTACTTCTAACATACATAGATTTGGACATTGCTCTGACGCTATTTCTACTTTTGCAGCTAAAGTCTCTCTTTCATTTATGGTAGGTGTTATAAAATTATATTACTATTGTCTCTATCCTTTTCGTACAGTGATTCTGTATAGAACCTTTTCATGATTGGATTTCACTTACCACACACACAAAATCTATAGTATGCCTGTGAGAGTCTGATGTAGAAAATAATTTTGTGCACTACTCATTTTCAGACATTTCACTAGAGAACTATGTATCTTACTTCCAGTTTACAGTGGCTTATTACATATTAGAGAGGTCTTCTAGTAACTGCAGATTCTTACTGCAACCTAGCCCAGTATCATTCATTTAATTTAATTTTTGACATGCCTTCCACCAGCTTACATACAGCATTGTTTGGAGAGGGAAATTACAGTTCAGATGTTCAGACCATTATCACACTCATAACTCACACTTCTCAGTGATCAGTTTCCTTTTCCCAAACACTGGTTAAAGTAGAACTAGGTGGGATTTTATTTTTCATTTTGTTTTGTCCCCCTCCGTTTTTGACAGAAACATAAAACTTTTTCACAAAAATGTATGTTTAATTGAAAAGCCATTTTTCATCTAAAAATGTTGACAAACATTTTAAATCAGCTCTGTTAAACCCAGTGTAATGGTCTCCATTTCCAACTCCAGCTATCTGAAATAAAAGAAAACTATAAATACAAGGACTATACTAGAATCTTAATGGGGGGGAGGGGTGTGTGTCACAAAGCTTGCATTACCAAGTATGCAAATACTGCTTGAAAAATGGATGTAACAGTACATGATTACGCTGCTCTACAGCCAAAATGCTTCTGAAATAAATGTAGTCAAACTTTACTAATTCTGGGTCACTGATAACGAAAACGATGCTTAAAATTGTTGATTGGCTCTAGTTTTCAAGATATGCTATTGGGTCAGTATATACGACCCTGCACTTGGGAATGGTGGAGGATAAGTGAGTTATAAAGGGAAGGGATCTCAATTTAAACCAGAAATGACTAAAATACATCTTTCACTGGATCTAGGAATAAATCTATGACTGGGTTTGGACAGTACTTGCTTTTTAGGCAAAACAATGAATGATGCAATCTGAAGCTGGTATTGCGTCATACATGATATTAATTGCATCATGTTATTCCTAGAAGTCATGGATGATGCAATCATAACGAAGCTTACATCACTCTGCTGAACAAATTGCCCTATACCAGCTCTAGAAATCATACAG